CATCAATCAAGGATCTCCCAAGATCAACAATAAAGGTACTTCTTTCTTTTTGATCCTTTTTATCAATCTGATAGTTGAAGATGATGTAAGAATTCAGAGCTGTGATATCTAAGAGGGCATAAAAAAGTGCCAAAGGCCATCTTCTGGATCGACGAGAGGTAGAAAAAATTAGAGACCATTTGGTCAATGGTATCTACACCTCCTTTTGTTAGATTATAATCCATTATAATGTCAGGTTTTCCTGTTGTTTCATCACATTTATTGTCATGATGCATCGAAGATATAAGGATTACTGATTTTATTTTTTTTGGGAACATAGGAGACTAAAGTTTTTGTTCCAGAGAAACCAAAAATAGATGTTCCTGATTCTCTTTTAGGATGCGGTTGGAATTGTGGTGGAATCTGAGGTTTGCTCTTTCTCATCGTTCCTAAATATGTAAGGCCATGTTCTTTCAACTTATCAACTAATTCTATTGAAGTAAACCAGTTGTCTGCTGTAATATTTCTATTACTCTTCCAAAGTGGTCGACTAATATCTAAAACTATTTGGGTTGGCAGGGATAGTTCTTTTGACTTTGGAGTTTTAGATTTTCCTGTATATACCATTGCATTATACATATAATGTGTTCTTGAGTCTGCTAGTATCACTATTTTTATCCCATATTTATTAGGTTTTGAGGGTATATAAATTTTGAATGGACATTTTTCCCGAAACCCTACAAGCATTTCGTCAACAGTAAGGTATTCAGCAGATGTATAACAACTTTGAAAATTTTCAATAATGGTTTGAAAAATATCTCTTATGGGTGAGAGTCTATCTTCTTTGCATCTTGTCTTGAAATTATCAAATCTAATACAAAGTAATAGAAAAAGGAAACGCTTCACACTCATTACAGAGCGAAAAATGTCACGGCCTGTTCCATCTGAGGCAAACAAAGATTCTACATTTTCATGACCTGATTTGTAAACTCCAGCTAGATACAACAAACCTGAGAATGCTCTTATTTCTATTTCACTTGTAAAATTTGAGTAAGTACTTTTGGTCAAATCTGAAATTCTTTGGCGAAATTCTTCAATTTTTGCATTTGTAAATTCAGATATTTGTTTTATAATTGCGGCAGTAAAAAATAAGTTGAATATATCTATGCCACAATTTGGCTTCGGTTTAGCAGGGCCTTTCAGACCAGGTAAGTGTGTAATTATGTTATGAGAACGGGTTCTTCCAATTATTGCATGATTCTTGTTCCACTTATAGCCATTTTTCCCAATGAAACAATTACTTGAAGACATTTGAACAGTGGTAAGAATTGAATCACATTCCTCATCTGTACTGACATCTGAAGATTCGTTCAATGAATAATTTTCAGTTTCAGAATCATCATCAAAGTTCTTATTCAAAATTTCGTCTTCCATTATAAATAGAATTTCAAAAATAAAAAGTCTTACCTTGATAAAAAAAATTAAGGAAGTTGTTTTTTTTAATCTAAAAGAATAAATTCTACTTAGCCAAAGAAAGAAGTCTTATTTTATGAATGGAAGCTAAAAAATAGCGGAAGAAAGCGACTCGAGAATGAACAATCAGCTATAACCCTAACATGAAAAATTCTCACGCTTCTGGACGGCATGGGCGGAATCCGCCCACACATGCAAATTTAACCGCCCTCCCAAAACTTATATTTTTAAACGATGAATGGAAATTGTTTGTATCACTGTAAAATTAGAATACACCAGAGCTGTTAGCTCTCAGTAAACGAAAAATATATTTTTTTCCTATATTAAGTTTATGCATGGGCGGAATCTACCCAACCCGTCCAGTTAAGGGTTAAATGAAAAATCGAAATTTATTTTTAAGGAGAAATAACGACTATTTCTAACCTTAGAGGTGTGGTATGAAAGGATGAATTGTGAAGAGTAATGATAAAATATGGAAAAATATGTCCAGTGTAGCCTAGTGGACATGGCATCTGCCGGGTAAGCGGAACACTGTGGGTTCGATTCCCATCCCTGGACACTTTTATTTTTCCGTTTATCATTACTCTTTACAATTCATCCTTTCATACCTCATCTCTAAGGTTAGAAATAATCGTTATTTCTCCTTAAAAATAAATTTCGATTTTTCATTTAAAAGAAACTCATGCGGGATATTTTCCAATGTCGATTTACAATTATAGATTATAAACACAAGGTAGTAAGATACAAGGTAATCAAGGCATAATCATTTTAACCGAAAAGAAACAAAGGTACTAGATTATGAGAAATATTATTTTAAGAGACAATATAAAGAAGCCCTTTTTTATTAAAAAGAAATGTGATACAATTAACAGAATGGAAGAAAGAGGAAATATAAATGATATTTATTGATATGCTTTTAATTATATCTTTAAAAAAAGTTTTTTTTTTTTTTTTTTCACTTTTAATTCTAAGAATAATATTCTGTGTTTCTCAGAAAACTATCTTCTTCTTTCGTGTTATCTTGTTTACACACTTGATAACAGTAACTATTTAAAACATGCTGTGGTAAAATTTTCTCATTCCTTTTTGGTTTCAGTACGGTCGGTTTTACGTTCGCAGCTAGCTCTCTACCTGTGCACATCTTTGCTCTCCTGTTCCTGCCATGGTTCCCTCTAGGAAGAAGAAGAAAAATGACGAGAAGCCCCTCGTAACCCTCGCCCAAATGGAGATGGAGAACGAGGAGGCGTTGCTACCCTTCAAAAACCCCTCAAAGTCCGCTGATCCTGCTTATGCGTGGGAACTGTACGCCCAAATGGACAGATTCATCAGGTTGCGGACCGGGCAGATCACTGCCCTCCTTGCCGAGATGGAGAGCCTCTCTGGCATCCTCGCGTCCTTCAAGGAGCTGGACGAAGATGCCAACAAGCCCCAGACTGCCTGCCACGGCACGCAAACCTGCCCTGCTCCTTCCTGCAAGGAAACCAGCTCCCAGACTGACCCCATCAAGCCCGCCACTCCTTCTCCTGCTGACCCCCCTGCCAAGAAGCCCGCCTCCACCCTGCCTGCTCCTGGTGCAGCCAAGAGGAAGCAGCCTGAGGCTCCCAACCCCCCGGCCAAAAGATCCAACTTCAAAGATCCAACTGCGCCTTCCCGCGTCTCCAAGCCTGCGGCCGCCCAAGTGGTCAAGCCTGCGGCCGCCCAAGTGGTCAAGCCTGCGGCCGCCCGAGTGGTTCTCCACGGTGAGAAATCGGCAGCCCACACAGTGGTCGTCTCCGACGACCCAGAGGCCGACCCTAGGGAGATCTACAAGGCTGTCCGCGCTGCCCACACTCTACCCCAAGGCGTTTGGGCCTCTCTGAGAACCAAGGGAAAGCTGGTCCTCCACTCCAGCAATCCCGACATCATCCCTGAGGTGACAACCTCCCTGGCCAGCAAGCTAACGGGAATGAAGGTCCGCCAGCAAAAGGTGCTCCTGCCTCGCATCTGCCTCTTCAAAGTGGATGTGGAAACGTCCAACTCCACCATCGAAGAGACGCTGTTGGGGACTCCCGCTGTTAGCCAACTACCTGGGGACAAGGTGGTGCGCGTTGCGCACCGTTCTGCACCCAGAAACGGGACCTGCACCGCCTTCATCGAGGTGGACCTCAACACCTTCAGAGCTCTGGGCAACCGCGGAAGGATCGTGGTAGATGGAGTGATCCTCAACTTCGAGGAGTCCATCCGCGCACGCATCTGCTTCCGCTGTTGTGGCTTCGGCCACAACTCTGCCCAATGCACCAGAGATCCCAGGTGCTTCCACTGCGGTGAAGGTAGCCATGAAGGCCGTTCCTGCCCCTCTGCTGCTGACCGGCACACTTCCAAGTGCACCAACTGCTGTGCCAAGGGCCTCCCATTCAAGCACGAGGCGAGAGCCTCCAGCTGCCCCACCTTGAAGCTTAGAGCCCTCAAATTCATATAGGCTTCCAGGACCTCCTGCCTCCTCAACAGTCCTCCATCCTGGCTTCTCACCCATCAAGGCGCTGTTTCCCTGACCTCTCCAGCTTCTCCCCCCTGCGATGACACCTCCACTGCCAGACCCTTGGATCCCTTCCCACCAGTTCGCGACCTGCAGCCATAGTAGGGCTAGAAGACCCATTTTTGCGGCCAATTAGCCCGGATTCTCAACAACAAATTTTCTCATTCAGTACTTTTGTCTGAAGATGGTAACAATGCTGTTACCGAAACGTCACACACTATTTATTTATTTGGATTTGGTCTTATTACCTTGTGTATATTTAGAGTATAGATAAGGCACAATTTGGATTATAGATTATAAACACAAGGTAATAAGACCAAATCCAAATAAATAAATAGTGTGTGACGTTTCTGTAACAGCGTTGTTATCATCTTCAGATTTTAAAACATGCTGTGGTAAAATTTCTCATTCAATACTTTTGCCTGAAGATGGTAACAACACTGTTAGCTAAACGTCACACACTATTATTTATTTGGATTTGGTCTTATTACCTTGTGTTTATTTAGAGTATACAATATACATTTGAAGATGAAGATATGTTTTTACTTTTTTCAATATCTTTCAACAATAAAACAGTTGAAACTCTTCCATAAAAACATCATTAGGAGGGGGACAGGATTATTTTGGTGCTATATAACCACAATTGAAACAGTTGGGAGTTAAAAAAAACTTGGAATTATAAACAATGATAAACAAATTTGGATTATATATTATAAGAAAATAAACACCCAATCCAAAATAAATTAATTGTGTGTGACCTTTCGGTAACAAAGTTGTGTTACCATCATCAGACAAACAATTTTTTTTTTAAGTCTTTTGTCTGATGATGGTAACAACGCTGTTATAAAAACGTCAAACACTATTAATTTATTTTGGATTAGGTCTTATTTTCTTTTAGAATTATAACAAGTTTCAATTTTTCGTTCAAAAGAAACACATGCGGGATAATTTTCAAATGTCGTTCTACAATCATAAGCAGCATTATATTGTATTATAAATTACATTATATATTATTTACTAACGGAAAATTATGTCCAGGGTAGCCTAGTGAACATGGTATTTGGTCGGTAAGCATAACACTGTGGGTTTGATTCCCATTCCTGGACACTTTTATTTTTCAATTTATCATTACTTTTCACAATTCATCCTTTAATACCTCATCCCTATAGTTAGAAATAATCGTTATTTCTCCTTAAAATAAATTTTGATTTTTGGATCAAAAGAAACACGTGCGGGATAATTTTCAAATGTCGTTTTACAATTATAACAATGTTCCACTAGCTCATTATTTCTATTCCTCAAATCATATGAAAAAGCTTCCATTAGCACAGAAGAAGTTTTCAGGTAAATCTCTTACTGATACCCAACACGCTGAAAGTGATAGGTGACTATAGACCTTGAAATGGGCTTCTCCTTTAACAGATGGTGAAAATTTGATGGAAGATCTCCAATGACCCGGTTGAAAGAAGTCAAAGACACAACCAGAAGATGTGCGAGCTGAAAGTGATGGTTACCAATAGATCAAATTGGAAAATATTTGTCCATATAGGCACCAAAAGTCGAATTTGATGCACTAAAAACACCAACCATTACCTAGAACGTTCATGCCTGGTGTTGACATGTGAGGTTCTACTGTTCAGAAACAGAACGTGGGATGTTAAAAATTTGGTAAGGGGCAGCGGTAACTACAAGTCATGGTGAAATGTGAAGTGAACATCAGAAAACTCCTGTATGCTCAGTAATAGAATATGGTTTTAAAATATTGGTAAACTCCACCTTTGCCAGTCCCAAGCCCGGATGAAAAAGGAGGAGGGGGAGCAGTAAAAAGCTCACTAAAAAACCTGGGCTCAGCTGGCCCAGCTGAGAGTACCCTGTAAGGGCTCCTAATCCAGGGATACAGGATGAGCAGCGTTTGTGCTCCATGTTAGGAGCGGCTGCACATGGCGTCTGTTCCTCATGTCAGAGGCGGCCATTTCTTTTGGAGCTAAGTCTGCCTGCCACTAAGTAGTGCTTCCAGTCTTAATGACAAAAGCAGACGCATTCTACTTCACCCAATCATGATGGTTGTCCATTACAAGCTTGATACCCTAATATGATTGAGTGGAGATAAGAAAGAAGAAGAGAAAATATTGGTTACAGAATATGGTTACACTGCTACAATGTGTGGACGGCAACTGTAAAGCAAACTGCTGGAAGAGCACATTTTCCTAATAAAGTAACTTCCTGATTTAAAAATTGTTTTCACCAATTAATATCAGACTGCTCTTAATTTTGTATTGGGCTATTCTGTGTTCATATACATCCAGTATTTTCGAACAATTATTTTTTGCATCAAAAACAAACACTTTTATGTTAAAGAAGGAACAAAAGTTAACGGCGACAAGTTTCTTTTATTAAAGCTGTAAATTCTGCAAGCTTTCGGACTTTGACGTCCTTCGACAGGCTACTTTCCAAGAAACTGAAAGATAATATTTATATACAGGTAAATATTCACATAATTAGAACTTTTCTTAATGAAATAAATGATTATTATACAAAATTATTTTCATCTATGTAAACAAATTTGTTCTGAGAAAAGGATGACAACCATAGGATGCAGGGAAAGACAAAAACCATCTGAAACCCCTCAGACAAAGAAGGTTTTAGAAACTTGGGAGGATGTATTTTTTCAAGGTGAGGGAATTATAATTAAATATGTGTAGGTATTGTGGAGGAAGGTCAATTTTTCTGTTAAAACTGTTTAGTTGGATGGATTATGTGGGTTATCGTGATACTCCTGTGGAAGGACTGACAGGTCCGGAAGCTAGAGAATAAAATTTGAACAAGAAACTTAGCCCTGGAGACTTTATTTTCTTTATAATAGATTATGTTACCTGTGTGAATTCAATAGCATAAATAGAAAGATTGACCTCTTCTCTTTAAGAGGGAGGATTTCAACTTTCTTAAGCGGCCTCACCTCCTGGATCAGTAGCTCTTCTTAGTTTCCCTGCCTTAGGGGGAGATGTATTTACTTGATCGGTGGGAGGGCGATGGCATTGCATTTTGTCTTGAGGGGGATCTTTCACTGGCAGATAGGGCGACAGGTTTTCTTCTTTCTTATCTCCACTCAATCATATTAGGTTATCAAGTTGTGACCCTTGATGGTGTCTGTATGACAACCATCATGACTGGGTGAAAGTTTTTGACAAGTGACAGGTTTTGAAAGTGGTTATCCATTTCTAACTCAACTTTGGCATTTTGGTTGAACCCGGTGCTATAATTGTTGAAGTAGGTCAGCCATCTTGTCCTGGCTTCCTCGAAAACACGCTATCTCTGCAATATTGGGTGACATGTCCCAGGTGACCTTAATGGAAACATTTTGGGATGTTTTCGTGTGTCCTTCATTCATTAGTTCTCTGTGGTGGTGTCTGGTTGGGTACCGGTGATCTTTGGTTTAGGTACTGCTGTTGTGACGTCTGTTTGAATATTTGGGGTCGGTTAGAGTACTGTTGTTGTGGCATTGGTCTTTGAACGGGCTGTGAAATGGTAGACAGGTTCCTTTCAACTTCCTCTCGGATAATTAGATCCAGCAATGATAGCTTGAAAGTGGCTGACTTGGAATTTAATGCATGATGGATTTCTTCTTGGATAATACGCCTAAATAAGATCCTCCAAATATTTCGACTCTGCTGGGTTGATGGAGGCAACATTAGACAGTCTATTGAAAACCATCTGCTTATTTAAACTCATCTTTTGCCATAGCTCAATTTTCTGGCACCACCTTCAGAGTTACATGGTGGTAGCTATCTCCAAAGTTCAAATTGCCTATTTTGATAAACTAGAAGTGTGAGGATAGTAAATAGTGCTCAAAGTTGTGGATGATAAAAGTTTTATCTTTTCTACTATCATCCAGCCTTTGTGTTCCGAAGCGATAGCTACTCCCAGGGGTGAGAATGTCCTCAAAAGGTCAAACTACAGTAAAACCCCTCTATAGTGAACCCCAATGGGACAGAGCTTTTGGTTCACTATAGCCACGGTTTGGCTTTTTTTTTTTTTTACTTTTCAAAATTTTTAGACCGTATAATTAAAGGACAGCCATACACACAAGAAGAGGCTGCCTTTTAATAGTGGTCACTTTGTTTTAATTCCCTTAATTGACCAATTTCCTTACATTAATACTGAATAATAATAGAAATCATTAGATGATAGGTTCTTCTTATCATTAACATACATGTACCTCTGTCTAATTTAAAAATCAAGACAAATCCTAGGCAAATTTTTATTAAATATATATTTAAAGATATAAAATGATTTTAAAACATCATTATCACATTATATAATAGAATGTTTACTTGAAAAAATGGCTCCAACACCTTGTTGCTTCAAAGCACCATTCAAATAAAGTTAGTGTTTTTCTTCCATTTCATGTTTCCAGATATTCCTCTAGGTCTAGATTTTTTTTTTTTTTAACCTGTCATGCAAAACATTGCTGACTTTAAAATCACCATAGTCAATGGCATAAAAATAATTTTTGTTTCATCACAGGCATGTTTATTTGGACTTTTTTTTAGCCCTAAAACGTACGATCGTGATCGCGGCAAAAGTTGTGGTTGATTCCTCTTTGGAACAATTTTTAATAGCTTTATATTTTATCTTTTATAATAGAAAGTTATATTCTCATATTTTAATATGTTCTTAACATTTTGCCTGTGTTGTTTCACTTTGAAAAGTTCTGAAAATGGCCTTTTTTTTTTTAAAGAAATACGCTTCATTTTTAAAATGCCTTTATTTTCTTCATTTTGGAAGCCATTTGCATTTTTTATATTTCAAATTTAATGGGTGCAAATATATTCTATTTAATAAAAAGTATAATGTGTTAAAATTTATACAACATACAGCAAAAAATAAAGTGCAAAATTCAAAACAAACAATGCCGCTATATTTATTGTTTTGAAATCGCCATCCGCGAGCTGAAACATGCTTAAAATTTGGTTGTTTTAATTTTTTGGTTGTTTTAATTTAATAAGCATAGTATTTTAAATAGATTTTATTATTTTGGGACCGAAAATAGGTTCGTTATAGGGGTAGTTCGTTATTCTAAAAATCGCAAAGTTCGTTATAACGATGGTATTTTCAATGGAATGGAATTGGGAATCGGCGTGAGTTCGTTATAAGGGAAGGTACGTTATATCCAGGGTTCGTATTAGCAAGGTTTTACTGTATGTAGTAGGGGGTAAAACTTGACTATCAAAGCTCATGCATAAAATATTGGCTGTCAGCATTATCACATCATAACCCAAATCAGATCTGATTACCTGGTGAAAAGAGAAATCCCTATATATAAAAGTCAGTGTATGTATGTTTGTTTGTCGGCTATACACGTCGACAAGGGAGAGGTGTCCGCTAGCGAGGATAACTGTTAAAGGGAACTCTGCCTTTGCCGGTCCCAAGCCCGGATGAAAAAGGAGGAGGGGGAGCAGTAACAAGCTCACTAAAAAACCTGGGCTCAGCTGGCCTGGCTGATAGTACCCTGTAAGGGCTCCAGGGATACAGGATGAGTCTGTACTCCATGTTAGGAGCAGCTGCACATGGCGTCTGTTCCTCATGTAAGAGGCGACCATTTCTTTTGGAGCTAAGTCGGCCTGCTACTGAGTAGTGCTCCCAGTATTAATGAAAAAGGTAGGCACATTCTACTTCACCCAGTCATGATGGTTGTCAAGCATTACAAGCTTGATACACTAATATGATTGGGTGGAGATAAGAAAGAAGAAGACTGTTAAAGGGAGGTTCTCTCTACTTATATGAATCAGAATCCAGGTATGAATTCTGGCAGTCCTGTAAATAATTGTTGTAAGGCTCTCCTAAGACAGAAACCCTAGTATTTTGTTGGTCAGACATCACAAGGGAATGCTACTTCTACGTAATAAGGTCAGCAGTGCCTGATTCATCAAACTTATCATTGCCATGCCAGATAGATAACAGTTGGAGATAAGACTTTGATGAGCAGTATTCCATCAGCTATTGAAACAACAAAGGATTTATAAACGCAAGGTAATAAGACCAAATCCAAATATATAAATAGTGTGTAACGTTTCAGTAACAGCATTGTTACCATCTTCAGACAAAG